AAAGAATCACCCTCATTTTGTGAAGAGCAGCCATGGCTCACTAGTGTAGTGGGATGATCAAGGGCATGGAATAACTTCCATATAAGGAAAGACTAAAAAGAATTGGGCTGCTCAGCTTAGAAAAGACACAACTAAGGGTGTGTGAGATAAAAATTAAGGCTACGTTTTAGTCACGGGTATTTTTAGTAAAAGTCATGGGCAATAAACAAAAATTCACAGCCTGTGACCTGCACTACACACCCCTGACTCAATCTTGGGGATGCATGGCAGGGACAGCCAGGGGACACTGAATGTGCTTTGGAGGAGAGATCCAGGAAGCAGCATATGGTCCAGGACCCCCACTGGTGCTGATGGAGAGGTTGGTGGGGCTGGCAGGCTCCCAACCTGGTTCCTAGTGGCTCCTGTACGCAGCAACATGTCCCTTCCACAGCTCCAATCTCTGCTCACTGCTCCCACCCCAAGTGCCAGCTTCACAGCTTCCACTGGCTGGGAGCAGTGGCCAATAGGAGCTGAGTCTACAGATGGAAGCAACGCATGAAACTAGGAGCTGAGGGAGGAACACGTTGCATTTCCGGGGGTTCCCTGAAACAAGTGCTTCCCAAAGCCCTCCCTCCTCCCCAGGTCCGAACTCCCACACCGAAACTCCTGGTGCCAGGGTGGTGGCCCCAGACTCTCTCAGCACTGAGTGATGTGGTTGCCCAAACTACTCTGGTGGCCCCCAGGCCAGCCATGCCAACTGCTGCAGAAGTCATGAAGGTCCTGGAAAGTCACGGAATCTGTGACTTCCTCTCAGCCTTAATAAAGGTCTATAAAATCATGAATGACATGGAAAAAGTGAATAAGAAAATGTTACCTTTTCCCACAGTACAAAAAACAGGGGTTGCATAGAAGTTAATAGGCTGCAGATTTAATACAAACAAGAGGAAGTACTTATTCCACTCAACACACAACTAACTTGTGAAACTCATTGCCATAGGATGTTATGACAGGCAAAAATATGACTGGGTTCAAAAAAAGAACTGGCTAAGATTTGGGGGGTTAGGTCCAACAAGGACTGTTATCCAGCATGGTCAGGTCTGTAACATCATGGTTGGGAGTGACCCTAAACCTCTGACCACCATTATCCAGGAATGGAAGACTGGGGTGGTTCATTCCATACCTTCCTGTTCTGTACATTCTGGCTGAAACTCTGGTATTGGCCACTGTTGCCCAGGATACTGGGCCAGATAGATTACTGTCTGACCAGTATGGCAGTTCTTATATTCTTAGAATCTGTTTGCAAGCTCCTAGAAGATAACAGGGTTAGAAGCCAACATGGATTTGCCAAGAATTTCCTTCTTGGCTAGGATTACTGGCCTAGTGGGTAAGGGGGAAGCAGTAGATATTGTCTATCTTTATTTTAGTAAAGCTTTCGACACAGTCCCACATGACATTCTAATAAAAAACCCTAGGGAAATGTGGACTAAATGAAGTTACTATAAGCTGGATGCACAGTTGGTTGAAAGATCATATTCTAGGAGTAGTTATGAGTGTTTCATAGTTGAACGGGGAGGGTGTATCTAGAATTCTACAGAGATCAGTTCTGGGTCCTGTACTATTCAATATGTTCATTAATGACTTGGGATAATGGAATAGGGAATGTGCTTATAAAATTTGCAGATGACACCAAGCTGGGAGGAGTTGCAAATACGTTGGTGCACAGAGGCAAATGCAAAGTACTACTCTACAGAAAAAATCCAATGCACAACTACAAAATGAGGAAGAACTGACTATGTGGCAATATTGCTGAAAAGGATCCAAGGGTTACAGTGGATCACAAACTGAATGTGAATCAGCAGTGGGATGCAGCTGCCAAAATGGCTAATATTGTTCTGGGGTGTTGTAAGTGTTGCGTGCAATATATGGGAAATAACTGTCCTGCTCTACTTGGCACTGGGGAGGCCTCGGCTGCAGTACTTGTCCAATTCTAGGCAGCACGTTTTAGGAAAGATGTGTACAAACTGGAGAGAGTCCAGAGCAGAGAAGCATTAAAAACTGGGCTTGTTTAGTCTTGAGAAAAGATGACTGAAGGGGCCTGGTAACAGTCTTCCAGTGTAGTAAGGGCTGCATGCACCCTGAAAGTAGGATAAGGGATCATGGGTTCTATCTGCAGGAAGGGAGATTCAGGTCAGGTATTAGAAAAAAACCCTTTCCGACTCTGAGGGTAAGTAAACTCTAGAACACGCTTCCAAGGGATGTCATGGAATCCCCATCACTGCAGGTTTTTACGAAGAGGTTGGACAAGCACCAGTCAGGGATGATGGAGGTTTATTGGTCCTGCCTCAGTGCAGAGGGCAGGACTTAGTGACCTCTCAAGGTCCCTTACATTTCTACCATTGTGTAGACCGCACTTTCCTCCCAAATGAGGGCAAGAGACACCAGGAGCCCAGCTTCCACCTCACATGGGCACTGGAGAGGGATGGAAGACCCAGTATATTGTTTCCCCTTGGGCATTCCCCTGCATCCCTTCCGTGTGCCAGACTCCATGATGGCTGGGCATTGCTCCTTATAGGCCCCAGCCACCCCTTCCCTGCTCTGACCTGACGGATGTCCCAGTTGACGTTCCACTGGCGCATGTTGTTGTACCGCCAGGTCTTCACCATGTCTCCCACAGCCAGGTCAATTCGGATCAGACGATTATTGGCGATGCCCAGGATCTCATCCTTTCTGTTGCCCTTGAACCTGCAGCACGTTGAAGAAATGGGGGTCAGGACTCCTGGGTTGTATTGCAGTTTGGGGGGCAGCACTCTACTGGGTAGAGCAGGAGGGGTTGGAAATCAGGACTCCTGATTTTTATCCCTAGCTTCATGGGGAGAGGAGAGAAGTTGAGTGGACTGGGGTGGGGGGGAGCGAAGGACAGGGTGTCAGGACTTCTGGGTTCTATCCTCAGCTCTGTGGGGGAGCTGAGTGGGGTCTAGTGGTGAGAGAATGGAGTGGGGGGAGGGGGACAGGAGTCTCGGGTTTGGCCCTTTGGCTCTGAGGGGAAGGGTGCCTCACCTGACCACAAAGTAGGAGATGCCGAAATCAGGCAGTGACTGCCAGGCCTGAATAAACCTCATCTTAGCCTCAGTGAGAGAGAGCTGGGCCATGTTCTGATGGGCCTCCAGGATGCGCGGAGTTAACTGTGGGCAGGAGACATGGGTCAGTATTCCATACTCAACAAGGCCAGGCCTGAGCGCTGCTTGGATGGGAGGGTGCTCCTGTCAGGCATTCTTGGTCCCATGATCCCAGTAGGGGACTCTGTGCCTGCAACAGGAGGCGCTCTGCTTTGAGTCAGTGCCGGCCCAGTTACCCCAGTGCCTCACTAGGAGGCACTGTGCTGCAGGGAGGCTCCATAGGGCGCGCCTTCCCCTTACAGTCAGTTGTGTCCCCATTTGTAGCCAGTGGGCAGGGAGCTCAATAGGGGTTGCTCCCCTGTTCCCCTCCCCCCCCCACACACACCTGTTTGGGTTTGAATTTCTTCTGGTAGCGGGGGGACACCAGCCACTGGGTGCTCATGGCCTCGGCATCAGGTGCCACAGGCACATCGGGATTGGCTTTCTGCAGCTGCAGGAAGGACAGGATGTTCTGCACCTCAGACTGGTATGTGCTGTCTGCCATGGTCCGGCCCTTGGCTGCCAGCCGGCACCCTGCCATCCAGTGGGCATACTCTTGCTCCTGCAGAGTGGGAGGGGAGGGTTAAAGGAGGAGGAGGCACCAAAGACTCCCAGCTGGGACCACCCTACAATGCATCTTCAGAGCTAGACCCCAGCAGTACAGAGTCTGCAGCGTTATCTAGAGGAGAATCCCATTCTGCCATCAGTCCACAACCCCTTCCCCCAGTATAGCTCCTCTGTAGCCCTCCCTTTATGGCATAATTCACTTGCTCTCTTCACCACCACACCCTGAAACCTTCTTCCTACATGGTACAACCCAACTGCACCCCCCTAGGGTGTAATCCCACTTCACACACCACCTCACAGCCTGATCCCAGCCCTGCCCCCCAACTCACGTTCTCACAGCGCAGGTGCACCTCACTCATCCCCTCTGGAGAGGGCACCAGAAGTTTGATGCAGAACTTTTGGCCAGAGATGTTGACGTCCGGTACCACCTCACACCCTGAAATTGGGAGGGGGGAAAGGAGGAGAATGCAATATTTCTGGTGATTAATATGCTTTACTGTGGCTGAAAAAATGCCTCAAAATTTCATGGGGATGAAGAATAATCTCTCGTCTGTGTGAGAACCTATGGAACTACTGACCACAGGATTTTTAGGGAACTAAGATTTTAGGGAAATAACATCTGTCCATTGATGCCAGAGACCACTGACTGTCTGCAAATGGTGGGAGGGAGGGGAGGGAAGAAAGGGAAATCTTGTCCTCTCTCTGTCACTTAACTGTGGAACTCCCTGCTACTGGAGTGCAAAGGGTCCAGGAGGTTGGAACAGCAAGGATGTGAGGTTTCTCATGGGAAAGGGACTTTCCCTGCACCCTGAGGGCTGATGGCAAGAGACTCACCTGCTGCAGGTTGAGGAATCTGGACCACTACTGCTCAGTGTTGAGGAAGGGTGATGCTCAGTTCTCTGAGCATCAAAGAGTGGGGGGAGGGGATGCTGTACACACCCTTGAGGTTGAGCTGCTGCACAGGTTCACCCAGCGCCTCCTCGCGGCTTTTGTAGTAGGAGATGGTCGTCTCTTTGAACACCACCCAGTGCGGCTTGTAGCCCTTAAGCGTCAGCTTGCGGGGCCTGCGGAAGGGGGCATCAGTGCCAAGGTGGAGGGGGCACAGTCAGGCACCCCCCCCGTGGAGGAGAAACACACAGCTCCTCTTGAACCCTAAGCTGTGATGAGGAGTGGGCGCAAGAGGACAGCTTGGGCAATGGGGAGGCTGGACCCCACACTGCTCCCAGAGCAGGGGTAGAACCCAAGAGCCCCGACTCCTGGCCCCTGGCCTCTGTCCCCACAGCCAGGATGAGAGTCTGGAGCTCACCTGAACACCCGGAGAACAGCCGTCAGCTCTGGGATGGTGGTGAGATTTTCCTGCCAGGAGATCAAGACACAGTCATCTCCTGCTACTCCAGCGTGCTCCCCTCACCCCAGCTCTTCCAGATGCCCCTCAATCCCGCTGCCTCCACTGGGCCCCCCTCCAGCTCTGCTGGTGCCCCTCACCCTTGCCCTGCAGCTTCCCCCTTACCAGCATGTCCGACGTAGATGTCCCCCCCTCCAGCTTGACCTGAAGGTTGGACAGGGCTGAGTCCAAGTCATCCAGGCCTTGTTCCTTGGCTTGGTCTGTGGGGTCAGCACTCAAGGAGAGTTTGTTGATGTGATACTGGAGGGGAGCAGAAGGCAGGTTAATTGCAGTGTGTAGGGAGGGAGATCTTCACCATCTCACCCACCCTGATAGCTCCCATGTGGGACTGGCCCGCTGGCTTGACTGAGGGCATGGATCCTGGTCCTCCTAGTCCCCAGAGCTCACTCTGTGGGGCCAGGACTAAGCCCTGCCCCTCCTGCCTGACTGGGATCCATCCTGCCCACAACTAGCAGGGATCTACCCGCTCAGGATACCCCATCCTCAGCTGGGCTTGATACCATCTTCCCCAGATCTCACCCAGTGGGGCCAGGAAGGTAGTGCCAAGCTCAGCTGAGAGTGGGGGGTGGAAATATACTGGGTAGGGTGGGGTGTCCTGTTGGGGAAAAGGCTGGATCCCAGGCAGGCGGGAGGGCTCTGGAGGTGGCCCCACTGGGTGAGCTCTGGGGAAGATAGCCCTCCCTCCCCATCACTAGGCTGGGATCAAGGGGGGAATCCCAGACAGGTGGGGGTATTCCGTGGTAGGGAAGGGGATGGATTCTGGCCAGCTGCAGGTGCTTCCTATGAGTGGGGGAGGGGATCGGTCCAGGCCTGGCTGGGGACAGTGGAGACCCCTGGTAGATAAGGCAGGGAGAAGGGATGGACCCTGGCCTGGCTGGGGCTGTTTCTGGGAGGGAAGGAGATTCCATTACCTGCAGGGCAGCAAAGACCATCATCTCCTCCTCAGTGCAGTCAGTCTCCTCCAGCAGCACAGCCCAGCGCGCCTGCTCATACAGCTGAGTGATGCGCACCGTGTCGTACTGCAGCACGGGGACAGGAAATGGGGGTGGGTTAGGAGTCAATGGGGGGGAATTAAAGAGGATGAGCTGAGTGGGGGATGGTACAGGGATCTGGAAGGGAGTTGGGTTGTGGGGGAGGGGTCCTGGGCAGTGTTCCCTGTAAGTTGAACACATGGGTGGCCACCCCAGAGAGATTCACATAATGCCCAGTTGATTATCAGAGCACCCATAGCTGGCAGCATGTGTTTCTGCGGGTGGTGCACATCCACACATACCTTGGTGCACATAACAAAAATCATTCCACACACACAAATGGAAAAATTAGAGGGACCATCGGTCCTGGGCTAAGGATCCAAAAAGCCAGGGTAGCTTTGAGACGGGAAGGGAGAGCCTGGGGACAGGCAACCGAGTATGG